GATTGTCACTAAATGCTCTTACGAATTAAGAATAGTTCAGTTACAAAATGAGTCGAAAAAATGTAGTAGACAGGGCTTTACTTGTGCTATCACAGATAAGTTTCCGTCTCATTTTTCTTGTTTAGGAATGTGGCTATGAAACGTAGTCCTCTGAGGTCTTAGTATAAAGACATGAATACTTGCTGCGCGATTGTCTTGTCGTGTACTAGTATTTAGAGCTAAAATTACTTGCAATTAAAGATGTTTACCCCGCAAGCACAGCTGTACCGTAATCTCATGAAGGCGTGTGGTAATCGAAACTGGTTAATGCTGATAATTTCTGCTTTTAACTCTCCTCGGCCCATTAAGTGAGCAGTGCCATTGTAAACACTTGAAAACTACCCCATTCCTCGAGATTTTTGAGTTGGGAAAAGAGTTAATCCGAAAAAAGCCTTACCTGGCTGTTTGGCTGAATGTTACGATGTCACTTGCACTGATCGAGTCGGCTTTCGTTCTCCCTTCAAAAAACTAACGTTTGTTGACAATAACTCTACCAAAGTAATGTAAAAGTAATATACAATGATCGCTTGTTCAGAATATTCACAGGTATACCTGGTTTTAGGTCCCACTTTTTCTGGCTTGTTGTGTATGTGCACTTGTCTTCAATGACTTCAATGCCGATTTGCTTCTCGCTTTTCGACATCTAGTGTGCATTGCGAGGCTCAGCGGATGCGAACCTCAGCGCATGCGTCTGCTAATGGCTGAAATTTCAAACGGTTTGTAGGCAGCTGAGGCTCGTAGCATTTTATGTCCCAAGTCTTAACCTTGTTACTTGTTCACTGTCTTAAATGCTTTCCTCCGTTAGCCTTGGATGGTTCTCTCACTTTAGGTGTAACGCGTAATCCTATCGGAAAGAGAATTGTAGATGCTTTGTGACGTCTTAAAAACAACCAAAGTCAAAGTTTTTAGTCGTTTGACCACTACCTAAGTGTTAGGGCGTAAGTTAAAGCGACCGGTTGAAGGATTTAGCGACGATGTAAGATTCTGTAAGTTGCTAGAGTGGAGGGCAATTTTTATTATTCGGCGCTTTCTTATTGCAGTTAATTTTGAACCCTGTTTGTCAACGTTTCCTTTCTTGTTTCAGTACAAACAAACTTGAGCCACGAAACTGGCAAGAGTGAAACAGAAAATAGAAAGCCTATTGACTATGGTATTATTTTTTCACTGACATGCACTGTAAAATTACCTTGAGTTCCTAGTTTTCCTCCCTTTATGTTCTACCGCTTCTAGTTTGTCAAAACTAAAGCGGACGGCAGTGGGTGGCTCAGTACTGAGTTCTGACGAAAACTGATTTACTTGTTTCTACTCAATAAAACTCTATCATAAGCGGTCCTGTCCCAGCCGAATTTCGTTTGCGCGTAGCTTGACTGTATATGAAGTGGAAGGCGGAGAGTTCTTTTGAGTGGACAGCAATAGCTGATACCTAAAGGTTTTCGCGACAGTTACTGTGAGTTGCTATTGTTTGGAGATCAAAAGATCGTATCTTCAAATACGCTCATGCAGGTTATGTTTTTTCGTACTATTTAAGATGATTCCGAATCGGAAAGCAACTCCTTTCCGGGGTTATTGATAGGTTTTGGTATGTTTCAACAACGTAAATCATCCTAACATAATGTTAAACGAACCTTATTGTCATACAAGTCTTGCAGAACCGATGTCGCTGGATATTTATACAGTTTCGCGTGAAGCTTCACCGATAAAAACAAACAATGCGTTTTTTAGTAATAAAGTCATCCAGGTTTTCAAGCCACTTAACTAGACTAAGAGTAGCCTCTAATCGTATCAGGAAGTACGCGAGAAAGCAAACGAAGCAAACGAGAATTGAATTCACTTTTCGCGAGTCACCTTTGTCTGCTCATTGCCCTACTATTGGAAAATCTGCAACCCATCATTTTGTAGATATATTTTATTTGTCGCCCAATTCATTGATATTATTTCTGTAGAGGTTGCAGTCTGGCTATCGCTGAGTTTCCACGAAAAAATTTTGTACATATTCACATTCCAAGAAAAAATATCTGGGGAAGAAAGAGGAAAAAAACAAAACAAAATAATTTGATTGTTGACCCTTAATATCTTATTATAGACTCGTCAGAATCTTTTTTCTTCTTATAAAATCTTTGCTGAACCAAGGTAAGTTAAGTAAGTAAAGAACTTTTAATTTTGACACAACACCGTGGGAAATATTTGGGAAACATTGTAGAGGAATTACATTCGGATATTAAGTTTGAAAGGTTCATGATGCTTGGCCGTGTTATATCGATGATACTTGATGTAAGTGGGAATTGGAATTCACATGTCTAACTCTCCAAATACAGTAGCAGAAAAAATTGAAACACAATATTATCGTCGAATCTCGGAATAACATTTGCATATTGAACATAAACTTTCTAAGAATTGGCGAAGGCAACGAATTGAACCGTGGGTCAGTTTCCTTTTAAACACAGATAGTTACGTTACTTGCATGCTGCAAATAAATTACTGTTTGTCACTGAGCTTCACTCTTCCGTTCCGGTGATGTGTGAACCTTTTTTTGCTATAAACTTGGATTGTGATGTATCTTTAACTTCAATTGCAAGAGAAAATAACAGGAATTCTTTCCTAACAAACTTTTTACTTATTAAGCTTCAGACCTACGTACCTTAGTCAGTATCGAGTGTTCTAAAACATCACGGGAGGTATTTTTACAGACAAGAAAAACGTCTTCAGGGGCTTAGAAAATTGAGTACTTAACCTCTGTCACGAATAATTTAGGGCTGTGTAGTCATGTTTGTTTACCAAAGCCTGGGGTATTTTGGCAACATCTTCAGCGTTTCTTTTTAAGTCGTTGTTTTGAAAGGGCCAAGAGACAATGCTGCTTTGGGACGTTGAGAAAAAGCCTATCCATACTTCTATCTTGCTGTTAAAGGGAAGAATGAAATGCGATTTTGAATCGCTGCAAAAAGGTTTTGTTTCTTTAATTGCATACTCACTTTAGAATGCAGTTTCCGAAGTTGTGTACATGGTCAATTTTTGAACAAATTTAGTAAACGTTAGGAAAGCTAATTCTATATTAAGGCTCAAGCTATCTCGTGCATTGATGCGATCGGCGATTGTCGTAAACGATTGAGCATCTTCAGTTACGTGCCTCGTACTAAGTTTTATAAAACATTGCAATTAAGGTGTCATCATTTAGTTTATCTCCAGCTTCCTCTCCTTAGCAAATGGTTTCGCAGAAATGATGCCACTTGACGGGTATTATTATTCTCAATCATATCTATTACAGACCCTATATGAATACGATTTGGTTTGCTGTGCGGCCGTATTTTATTTCCAACTTTTATGTGTATTTATTACACGGCTACAATAGTACGCGCGGGCTGATTGGCTGCTGCGCGGGCAAAATTTCCTTGTAATGACCGGGCATTATTAGCTACTAATGTCCAAGACATATTAAGTCTGTGTTTAACTTAATAGTGGACATCCATGTTATGGTCAATTGACAGGTGTCAAAAAAAGGGTATCCCCTGACCAGTGTCGTGGTGAGGTGACGTCTTTTTTAAAGCTATCTGCTGACTAGTTATTAGTTTTAACTGATCGCAGGCATAATTAGTCATTACAGGGAAATCTCAGACCTCGGCCTGAGATTTCCCTGTAATGACCGAACGGACGAGGTTAGTAAGTGGTATGTGTTCTTTAAATATGGTATTATGTCCCATAAGACTGACACATTTTGTTGTTATTAAAGTATCTTGCCTTGTATATTGGTTTGTATTACATATAGCAAGTTTAAGATGTCATGGCGAGAAGAATGTCAAAAACATGATAGGTTTAAGGTGGCTCGGTGGCTACCAAATCGTTTTGTTGGTCCTTGATATTGTCTCATTTTGTACAGGGTCTGTCTTACAAATTGCTGACTAAAGCACGAAATCAAAAAACGCGTCGAGGAGTTTAAATTTAGATAACTCTGCCACCCGGTGTTGTTTTACTTCCTGGTGTCAGGTTTCCTCCGACCTCGACTATCGATCGATAATGCGAACACCTCTCTCTAAGCCGGACATTTCGTACCGGTCTCAATAGTTAATTTATTAATTAAACACTTTTATAGCGCTCACATCCACTAGTTGTTCGTGGCGCTTTACAACAATATTGAAAATAGTAATATTATAGAAGATATAAAACATTTAACTCTAATAATAAATTAAACCATTATTAATAAATTTCCTAAAAAGGTAGGTCAATAAAACTTTTCAGTTTTAAAAGTAGAAACACTGTTCAATCTACGAATGTCTAAGGGAATATTGTTCCACAGTCCAGGGGCACATGTAGACAATGCCCTGTCGCCATATGTTTTAGTATTGGACTTTTGTTGCAAAAGAAGTTCTAGGGATTCTAGAATGATTCTGGCACTGAATTAATTCGACCAAATACCGAGGGCCAATACAATTTAGAGCTTTAAAAACCGGCAAAAGTAACTTGAACACAACACGGTAGGAAATCATAAGACAATGAAGTTTTACCAGAATTGGACGTATATAATCAAACTTACGAGCACCAGATACAAAACGAGCTGCCATGTTCTGTAGCAGTTGAAGTTTCCTCAGTTGATAATTGGGTAGTCCATAAAAAAAGAGAGTTACAGTAATCCAGTTTAGAAGTTATAAAAGCACATACAAACGTGGCAGCTGATTCTTTGTTAAGATACTTTCTGATCTTGAACAAATTTCTAAATTGGCAGACTAACGACTTGCAAAGATGTTTCATATGATGGTCAAAGGACATTTGTTTATCTAGAACTACTCCAAGGCTTGTGGCTTTATCAGATAAGGGAATTTTTTCATTTCCAATGCTCACGTAACCCAGAGGAGGGCCATCACGAAATTTTGAAGAGATGAGAACAACTTCAGTTTTATGTTCGTTCAACTTAAGATCATTGCGATTCACCCAACGACAAATAATGATCACCAACACAGTTTTCAGTCCGTTCAGGTTTTGATCGAGGATGCATCATTTGTTTTAAAAGCAACGGAAAGCTGACTATCATCAGCATACAGATGATAATTGATATTATAGCTCTCAATAACTTCACGGAGAGGAGATGTCTACATAAGATATAACACTGGCCCTAAAACAGACCCTTGAGGCACACCAACTGACAGGACACGCTTACTTGAATATGATTCATTGATATTGACAAAAGTATCTCTGTAGTCAGTGGAAAAGGGGATGGATGTTAGCAGGTTCTGTACCACAGCTCTTTCTATGGCTTAAGTGTCACTAAACAACATCAAACACTGGTAAATAAGTTTTTATTATTAAATAACAACACTATGAAAATAGCCACTCGAGTTTTTATCGCTAAAAGTGTTGCAAAGAGATTCCTAAAATCGACATTACTATTTTAAAATTAGGCTTTGACAAAAGTTAAACATGCAAAACTGAGCATATGAATTTCATTCAGTTATCATTTTGTAGTAAGATGATAAAGACTAAGAAAAGGAAAAATGCCACAGGATCCGGCATGTCATTGTTAGCCTGAAGAAAAAAAAGAACCGGTTAAACCCTTAACTAAAGTAAACTAGGAAAATAAGAACTAATTGAACTGAAAAGTCCGTTCTAATGTGCAGAGACTACGCAGCATTTCGAGAAGATACCTCGGAGCAAAAGTTTCGCTTTATGGATTTACCGACGTTACTTTTACTACTTGTTTACTGAATGAAATAGAAGATTCCATATACACCTGTGGTTGAGCATGACTCGACGCCGCTACCATATTTGGTAGACCGTACCTGAAAGATACGTAAAACAGAAAGTTAACGTCTATTCGCGTCATCGATAAAATGAAAGATGGCGGCCGGCCGCAGTAGTACAAAAACTCATCAGTAACAAGCAGCCTTTGCTCGCCCTTAAAATACGCCGAATTGTAGTTTATGGGTCAGCAGAGATGTGCCCTTAAGCGCAAGTGAAACTATGACCTTTTATTAGACGTTGTTGTGCATAGTGTAACGTACGTTTGTCATTGTAAACTGGTCGGAATGATCTGGCCTCCTGCTGTGGCGACATTCCAACTAAGTATGTTTTTTATGGTATCTTTGTCAATGTGTAATTTTCGGCCAGGAAACTGTTCATTTGCTCCCGAAAGCAGGTTATTTCACCACCACCTTCTCGACTTTTGGTTGAATACGCCTCCCTATTCTGTGATTACTACTAGTAAGTTAGCTAGGGTGGGTACTATATGGTGGAGATGATAATTTGTTTAGTAAAGTTCTTTACAGACGTGACTGTTTTTAGTGTTTTACCTGGCTTGATTTGCCTGGTGATCATTTTGCTGGCGTATACCTTGGTTCGCGGCGTTGGTCCCCTAGTAAGTTAGAGAGAATCAGCATTTTGATTAAACTGAGACATACGCTGGAATAAATTGTGTGAATGAGGTTCAGAAGAAAAAGTAAACTTTTCTGGGCGACTAAAATTTGAAAGAAGGAGAGGCGAGTTGCCGTTTGACGTAACAAAATTATAGGATTTTAACATTCTTTTCAGTGGTTAAAGCTGATGTTGGTCACTCAGGCTGCTCGGCCGGGTTGTCAAGAGCTCGGTAAATCACTCGATTAGAGAATCGGTCAGTTTTAGTGAGTCGGTCTGTCCGTCTGTCGGTCTTACTTCATTTCCTTGTGTGTTTTATTAGAGCAAAAAATATAAATTCGCTTGTGTTTTTGAAAAAGGAGTGGAATTTTGCTAACATTTACTTCTTGTGTCAGTGGAATATATTTTTAAGATCATTGTTTTGAATATCAGATGTTAGTAGGTGTTTTGCGTGGGAAGGTTTGGTAAACAGTATTTTAACCTGCCCAAGCGCGAAGGGCACCACGGGCTGATTTGTGGGTGAACTGCCGGAATCGCTGCTTGTATCCATTTCTTCGTCGCTAAATGAAAAGGAAAAGTCAGGTCAGTACCAACAAAGTGAGTTTTTGTCCCCAAAATATTCAGTTTTTGAAAGGGCACCGCCAGAAAAAGGAACGTACTAACATTTTACCATTAAAATGCTGAACACTTTACAGCATCGTTTAGCTTCCTTAGAAGTTACTTGACGTTTTTGCCCATAGAAAGGTACAGCCGTCCAATGTTATTCAGCAATACCTTTATTAAGTACATGTAAATCTGAAAAAACCACCTTATTTGTGAGCGGCATTGTATTGCCTAGAGTTTAGCTGTTAAAATCTAATCGCTGCCAGGTTTACAAACAAGCATATACGCAGAAGCAGTAGCGAGCTTTTCTTTAGTGTCTTTTATTTGTACAAAAGTTACTGGAGCAAACCCGCACTTCCTCATGTTTAACCCTGATTTGTAGCGTGTTAGTGGCTCACCTCTTGTCACTAGAAGAGTCTGATTCCTTAAAAAAGCGAAAAAGATAGCGCATTAGAAACTCGCCCACATCCTGCATCTTCCTAACCCTTCTCCTAATCACAGAAATTCATTTACGTCTGGTGATAAAAAGTTCGGTTGACTCTTTAGTAAAGTGGCGGACGGGTTCGACTTTTTCTGTGAATGTTATAGTATTTCGTTTTGTAAAGGTTTGTTTGAAAATAAACTGGAGAAATACACAGTTAGTCTCTTCTTGTTGCACAAACTTTGTTTGCCGTAGGTTCCTGACTGCTCAGTTTTTTCGTAAAAACAGCCCTTTCGCCAGGAGATACTCTGGCTGAACTCTTCCAACTAACACAAATGTCATAGTTGGATCTGTCGAGCGTAAAAAAAACCTATCAAAAAACGTACCCAAGACGCTGAAAAAATAAGCTTGAGCCACGGTATTAAACTAGACTAAGAACAGTATTCAGTGTTGAAAGTTATTTTTGTGTAAACAGGTTGCTTCCCTTAGTATTGCATGCGAGACATTTTTAAAGAGCATTCTCCGGCGTTATTAGCTTAGTTTCCTAACTTGCTACTCTATTTTTATCTAGATCTAAGGTTCGCTTTGTTTCTCTTTCATTGTATTTATAGTATTATTGTTTTATTGAATAAAACGTTTAATAATCTTACCATTGATACGTCTGAATCAGCCATCTAAAAAGAAATAAATAGTCATTAGTAAACCACGGCCGTGAAAGCGTATTTCCTTAACAGCACCGTAACTAATGAATACAAAAGCTGGGTGACCCTTATTGTTTATTACTTTTATGCCGTCCAACTCACTAGTTATTGCCAAGTCATGTGGGCGATTTGGCTGAAATACTGATAGTCGGGAAGACTTAAACAGACTTAAAGAACTGAAATTTTAGTTTGCCACAATGATAAATATGTGTGTGGAGCGTGTTCACAGGTCTGACTTTGATACAAACTTACTTCGCTTTGCGTCCCGTTAAAAAAAATAATAGTAGTAAAAATAAAATACAAAAAGAAAAAAAAAATACAAGAATGATTTGAAATGATTTGCGTTTTCGTGCGCTATGTTCGAAACACTCGACCAAACACGTCAGTCAAGTTATACGTAATATTAATACTAAAAATAACCTTGGAGTAAAGATAAAAACATCCCCCTATATAATGTGTGAAGCGTTATATACAGTAAAAAAAAAGTTTACTATTTTTGGTCGTGTTTGATTCACCGTATTTCGGAATAAGATTAATTGAAATGAACTCTAGAAGGCACTTGTGCTTGTTTCATTGGTTTGTAAAATATCTAGAAGCCTACTTGAAATAAGTTATTCCGATGTATGTAGGATCCAAAACTCAAAGGGGTAGAATTTGTATCAAAGCTTTGCATCAATTTGGCGTGCCACTCTATAGTTTCACAGTGCATTAGAATTCAGACGCTGTTTGTTAAACTCCGTAGTAACAAAGCGTGTATGGCACAGTCTTCACAGTTCTAGTTGTAACCGTCTTTCGGTTTGGATTAAAGACAGATTCTTATCAGGTTATGGGCCCAGAACAACGCCCAGGATAACGCCCAGAAGAACGTAGAAAATAACTCTTGGGACGACAGGAAACTTGAGGAATGGTGGTATGAAAATATCACGTTCGGGATCGCGCAAGATGGCGGGTGGAGAGTTAAACGCGTGGAGAGTTTAACAGTACAGAATTTAAGAGTTTAAGTGTTTTTTTTATTAGTACCGTATAACCTCCACCCACTTGTAATTGCTCTGTGGTAGTAGCCAACTCGAAAGCTTGGCTCCTTTGGCTGCTACACACTCTTCCTTTTTTATGTTTAATTCAATGTTATTGTTGTATTGTAATTGAATAAGTGTGAATAAAAGAACTTGAACTTGAACTTGAACTCTTCAAGTAAGTCCCATCAAACATGCTGAAACAGATGTAGAAGTTTTTTGTCAAGTCATACTTCGATTAAAAATTAGCACCTATTAAGTTTTGACGTTTTGGCTTTTCAGGGGTGTGATAACTGAAAGGATAAACGTTTCTTAGCGCTATTACGCAAATTGTAAGATTATTTAGTTAGTGTATAGCAAACTTCGTTTATACCAAACGGTGGAAACAAGAACCTGCGAATTTAGTCCATGGATTAATGATTGATTCTCTTTTCCTTAGCTTCGACATACTCTGAGTTAAGATTAAGAAATCTACGTAGCCTGCGGGCAAGCTCTCCGGGACACTCTGGCAGCGGGGTGGGAGCCTGCGAGCAAGCTTTCCGCCCCGCTGCCAGAGCGCCCCGGAGAGCTTGCTAGGTTAGAAATCTATGTTGCTCGTAGATACGATAACTCTTGAGACGGATTTGTTCTTTTAATGTTGTTGTTTGTTTGACTGTTGTTCAACGTCACTGATCACTTTATCAAGAGTTATCGTGGTTTTGCGTTTTAGCGTGTTTGTGTTAATGTTAAAAATGACAATTTGTGCGCCGAACGTTTTGACAATGTTCTTTCTTGTTTTCTCATTTAGCTGACACGTTTTTATTCTTAGCGCTTCTCGTGCAGCAACACGACATGCTGGGCGGGCTATTTTGTGTGTGTACAAAAAAAATAACTAAGAATTGTAAACACTTCCAAGAATGTTCTGGAGGTTTACTGATCAGTGCTGGATTGATTCACGAGCACAAGGAAATACCTGGAAATAACAATCTCTACCCTACGACACTTATGACTCTTTATTACTTTGAAACATTCGCTTGAGGGTTCTCGTGAATTGAATTTTAAGTCAAACTGAAAGATGGGGCTTTGCAAACGCTTGGATTTTTAAAAAGAGACAAGGTAAACATCACTGTTATTTCATGAACTCCGTTCCTTCCTATTTCCTACGTATTTGTCCTTGAAAACGTAGGCTTTCTCCCTCAGCTTCTGTTCAAACAGAAATACTTGGCGCTTACTTCTTTCTCACCTTCTTCCCTTTATTTTGCGCTTTGTGTCCTCGTCTCCTTCGAACTTCGCTGTACGTGTGAATTTCTGCATATGCCGTTGTGTAGAGATGTAAGAAAATGACCGATGAATATTTTTGAGTGTTTGATTGACGGCTTTAAGTGAGGGTGTGTGGGGCTACACTGTATTTAAAGTTAAAAATGGTGTTGATAATGAGTCGAACCGATACAAATATTTTAAAAGGCTAGACCCAAAAAGGCGACAAACGATACATTAAATATTATGACAATAGTTATAATTTTAGTTAATAATTGTGTTATGCTGCCAAATTTGAGGGCTAGCATCTTTGTTATTATTTTGTTATTTTTTTTTATCATTAATCAGTGTGTGACGATGATTTCAATGGTGTCGAAAGTGAAAGGGGGCGTTATTAGTGTAATAATAACCAGTATTAAGACCCATTGGTATTTACGAAGTGTTAATAAAACAATCTTTTTAAATTGTTTTGAGCTATGAACGTTGCGTTCTCCTTTGTTAAAACACGCGAATACAGTGACCTGGCAAGTGCAGTTAGTGGGAAGAATTGGTGGTATTAGGACCCGTAGGTAGTTACATTTCTTGTGAAAGCAACAATCCTTTCACGTCTTTCACGTTGCTTTTATTTATGTGTAGTAGTTGGTGTCATGTTGCGTGTTCTATTTATTCGGGAAATACACTTTTGAAAAAGTGACGTGGGTCACCGCGCCGGTTTAGTGTCATTAAACTTTGACGACTATTATATAAGTATCATTCAGTGGTGAAACTTATTTCACAAAGCTTTTGAATGTGGAAAGGAACATTTCTTTCTCTTCCCACATTCAGTGGAAAAAATTTAATCTTGTTTTTGATTTTTGTTCTTCTGTTTTTCTATCGGGTAAGGACACATGTTGACGATATTATTTGTAACGCATGTAGCCACAGCGTATTTCTAAAGATAAGTGGATAACTTATTACTGTCGCCTCCTTTGGCGAAGGCAAGTGTGATTAATGGGAAGATTGTATCACGACGTGGCGATAATCGTTTGTAAGCAATACTAATAACCTGATAATATCATGAAAGCGTTTCACAATTCATTCCATAGCCTCTTGGCCTCAGGCTGTAAAACATCGTGTTATGTTAAACAATAACTTGTATTTTGCTTACATTGACAGGCACTCATAAATCACTGACGATAGGCTAAATAGTGGAAAGATGATTTTTTTTATGCCCAGTCCCGATACAAAGCTATTATTAGGTCTCGTCTATTAAAGAGATGTAAATCGCGGCGAGTCTTAATTCCATTTAAATTTTCTTTTATCTTCCAAAATTTCTAGTCGAATTAAATTTAACTAGAACAAGGTCAAAAGTGATTTTTAAACAAACTCTCACTGGTAATTTGCAGCCTGTATCACCGTGGACCTCTTGGCAACATAGTAACACTTGTATGAACAGATGAAGGGCTTTGTAGTTGTGAAACCATACTCCTTCACATCGAACTTAATACTTTAGTGAGAAACTAAGGCCTTGGCCAAACCTGGCACTTCAATCTGTATTTACCCCTGTTTAGATGGGTTATAAGAAGTTTGTCCGCTTTCCGGTATGTTAATGTAATTGTTTTCTGATTGCTAACGCCCGCCTCGTCATTGTCTATTTCGTAAAAGTTGAAATGTATTTCTAACTGTATTTCTAAATGTATATCTAATTTATTTCTAAATTTATTTCCACGGCCGTCGCTTTTTTAGAAAATTTCTTTTGTCATCTTGTAGTAATTGCTGTTGCTTAAATACCGGTAATTATAGTTTGCGTGTTTTACAACGAACTAATGTCACGTATTTCATTGTCGATTCATTGAATGGTCAATGTTTGAACTGACACTAAGAAACTGTTAGGAAATTATCGGCTCGTAATTAAGTGGCAGACAAAAGGACAACAAAACAAATCAATGGAGGTTCTCTAATCTCTTGCATTGATGTGTAGGCATGTTTTACCAAGTTTCGTAAAAGAAACTGCAAGGTGTTTCGATTTAATGTTGTTTATATGGTGTTTTCATTATTATCATTCATATCTGTTATAGACAACTTGTGTTCAGCGGTACCTTAGTTGATAGTTTGGGTTGCGACGGAAGAGGAGAAGTTGTAATGAGTGTCGCTCCGACGCTTTTAAACACGTTCAAGCTTTGGTGTGAATGGAGCTGAAATATCGAGTAAGCGGCTGTACTTTATCGATCGTGATTTTGTCAAGGTTCTCGGTTCATATTTGGCTGCTGAAAGCGAGAGCAACGATATCGGAAAATGAAATTTCTGGCGATTGAGTCGCTAGCTACGAATTATTTCTGCGGCACGAAAGCAGCAGGCCGTGGGCCTGGGTCTTTTTAATGTAGTTGCATCATGGGTAATGGCGTGTGAGTATTTAAGCTTGGGATTGCACGTGGGCAATCATTCTAGGCCGACACCACTCACTATAATTTTTTATTTTTCGTAGGATGGGCTGCAGAGCTTGGGCCTGGTTCCTACCCAGATTTCCTGTCATATTTTTTCCCTACGGGGTTTTTTTCGGCAGGTTTTTTCTGGCCCCCGTCTAACCACTGTGTCTTGTTAGTGGTTGCTCAGCTCTCGTTATTTTCCTAGCTGCTATTGGAGGGACTTAGAAGATAGTGTTAGATTTCCATGGTTTTTTCTATTAGATTACTTATTGTACTCTGGTGCTCGGCCAAAACACGCAAAATAAACCTAATGGTTCATTATGTGTTCTGTCTGTTGCGTAGTGAAGCTGAAATCATGTGCGTTTAAAATCTTTTTAATGCGGTTGTAAAAAAAAATCTAGTCCGAACGTTGATTAGACAGATTGATGTCAGGTCGTAGTGATCCGTGACTGCGCCCCCGTGAAAAGGTTGACTTAGCGATAGCTACTGAGTTATTAGAGGAATTTCAGTACTAATACCTTCTGAAAACAGACCCGAGTGTCTTTTGGAAGGCGTCATTTGTTCCTTAAAACCGCGTTCAGCCCACGAGCAACGCTAATAAAGGGTCATTGAAACTGCTGAGTTTTCAAAAACAGGAATTCGCATATTGGCTGTCATAGTATCAGGTCTGAAGTCAGTGAAGTCAGTTTATTAAATAGTGTTACTGAATGGTGTCTTTGTAAAGCAGTCTACCTCGTAACTAGTCTTAACTCCTGGAACTGTAAACCAACAGAAGAACAATCAAATCGGAAAAAGGAAATATAGATGATCGAAAGCATCTCTTAAGTCCATGTTTTGCGGGATTGTGTAGCACTCCAATAAGGGAGGTAGGCACGTCTCATTTGTAACAAGTCCAACCCTGAAGTCGACTATGCTAAGTTGACAATTAGCATTGACTACCTGCTTTCTAGATCTTTCACATGGCGAGACTGCTAAATTATTTGCAATTTTACCTTACCGCAGTATTTGACAATAGAGTACTGTTTGAATTCACTGAACAATGAAATCGGAATTAAAAACAGGAATTCGTATATTGGTTGTCTTACTCATTAAGTAGTGTTACGGCTGAATGGTCTCTTTGTAAAGCAGTCTACCTTGTAACTAGTATTAACTCCTGGCACTGTAAACCAACAGAAGAACAATCAAATCGGAACAAGAAAATATAAGTTATCGAAAGCATCTCTGAAGTTCAATGTTTTGCGGGAATGTGTAGCACTCCAATAAGGGAGGTAGGCACGTCCCAATTGTAACTAAATCATACCCTGAATTCGACTATGCTAAGTTGAATATTAGCTTGCACTACCTGCTCTCTATATCTTTCACATGGCGAGACTGCTAAATTATTTGCAGTTTTACTCTACCATAGAGTACTGTTTAAAATCACTGAACTAAACGACGTGAAAGGGCAAATATATAATATTAATATATATTTTATAATACGTAAAAACGCATGCTAAGATATGGTCTTTTTAATAAATTATCAGCTGCTACATGTAGAAAAGTTCTGACCTTTCGTCAGGACTGTATCTTAGAGACACGAGAAGTTAACCGTCTTTCCACTGACCCATAAACAATAATGACCATGAATGGCATGAACTGTAAGGAGAGCTTTGCATGAAAGATGAAAATTCATATATATATATATATATATATATATATATATATATATAACTAGCAGCAAATAAACTGAAGACTTCATCTACTTTCAAGTGCTCAGAGCTGTGAATATATATACAGCTGTTTGCAAAAATTTTGAACCCCCCAGAAATATATAAATATAAATATATACATTCATCTTTAACTCCAAAATGTCTTTAAACAGGAGAAATTCAGACCTACCTGTAACTACATCATCATGCATGCATTCTTATATCAAAAGAAAACAATGTTTGCCAATGGGTAAATTACACCTTACCATATTAACAGATCACGCCAATATATGTTTTTATATCTGGAGGTTCTGGAGCTGTATATATGTACTAAATTTGTAAAAATAAATTCTATGATAAGAGCATAAATTTGTCAGGTATGCATCTTAAAGAAACGAAAAGCTCACTGTCTTTACGCTTCCCACAAATATAATGACCACAATGGCGTGAAGTGGGAGAAGTGTAGTTGGCATGGAAAAAGAAAATATGACGTGTATCCCTTTTCTATCTAATACACAAGACAGTCGGTATATATGACGAAGTCAGGGGCCTGCCTTCTGTTCCTTGGACGATGAAAGAGGTAGTAGCTTTCTTAGTAAAAGTTAGGCCAAACACAGACAGTGCACAGAGAATCTATTAAACTTTTAGGCACACGAGTTTAATTGACATAGGAAGGGGTTATTCAGCAGAAAAAGGTTTACTACCAAAGGTTCTCAAAGCCTTGGTCCAAAGCAGAGATGAATAAGCTCCTGCAACGCCATTTCACTGCCCTCAGCGTTAAAACGCCTCGAGTCCAATTTGAAGAGTGTATAGGAGAATGAGTACGGGCACTTTGAGTTTCATTTAAATGGAACATTGGGGCTCATTCTCAAACATTCATTGCTGCATAACCCAAAGTTGGGTTAAAAACGTTTTTTATGAGAGGGGCGACGGAAAGTACACTTACCCAGATTACATGAATTGTACTTGGACTGACTAAGGCATTACCGTTTCAAACCCAAAGTTGCTTCATCAGTAAAATCTCTCAATTACATTTCTGAATTGAGTATTTAAGTGTTCTGCCACGTGACGCAATATATCTAACATAACTGACGTCACGTATGGGCGTTTCTCAGTAAAGCGCAAGGTGCACGTGACGAAAGTTGCATGCAGGTGGCTTTGTCCAATCATAAAAGCCGCCGTACTTTATCGATCGTGGTTTTGTCAACGTTCTCTGTTCATACTTGGCTGCTGAAAGCGAAAGCAGGTTTAGCGCGCACGCTGTTTCCGTTATCGTTCGTCTGCGGTGGAAGTTGGCCGAGTTTGACACAACACCGCCGTGGGAAACATTTGGATAACATTGTAGAGGGTCTAGATGCGGATATTAAGTTTGAAAGGTTCAAGTTGCTTGGCCTTATTATGATGCTTGATGTAAGTGCATGGGCATTTGAAACCACATGGTTGACCGCCCAAATTGCAGGAAAATTGAAACACAAAATTACCGTAGAATCGCGGAATAAATTTGCATATTGAACATGAACTTTCTAAGAAAGTGAATCAACTGCTTCCTTTTAAACACTTATAGTTTCGTTAAATGCTTGCTGCAAATTACTCTTTTTCACTGAGCTCCACTCTTCTTTCCTAACAAACTCTTTACTAATTAAGCATCAGACCTGCATACCAGGCGATTTTTTTAAAAGCGCGACCCGAGGTACTCATACTGTCCAAAAGTACAGGCACAACCATGAATTTGTTGAACGCCCCCTAATTAGTTGCGACTGACTACTTTTCCGGAAATGCATTTTCAGCCATTGAAAATCTAGTCCATTTATTGTCCCGGAAGCCATAAATTTACTTCAACAACAATAACGGAAATAATTTCTTCCAAAAAAGTTGGTGTATTGTAAAATCTATGTATGGTAATGTATGGTGATCTCTGAAGGAGTTTCATATCTGATGCAAAAGAAGAAGTTAACGTTTCCAATGATTATTTTGCCAGTCAAGCTTCAGTACCAAATAGTGACTCTGCTGAAATTCCCTTTCTCCGTCGGTGGTCATCAGACTCCTTGTCTGTTATCACTGCGGATGAAGAAACGGTTCGTAACCTTATGTCATCTTTTAACGTTTCAAAAGCTATTGGCTACGATGGCATAAGTAATAAGATTATAATATATTGCAGTAAGGGTCTATATAAACCATTCACAAGTTTAATCAACGCTTCATTTCGATTTGGTCAATATCCAAGTGCTTGGAAACTTGCAAATGTTTTGCCGTTGTTTAAAAAAGATGACCGTCAACTGAAGACTAATTATCGCTCAGTTTCACTTTTGCCATGTTTATGTAAGATCTGTGAGAAAGTAGCCTTTTTTCATCATTTTTCAAAGTAGTTTTCGTCCAGGGGATTCCACTGTTATGCAACTTATATATATTGTTCACGAAATTTATGAGGCCGTTGAGGAAGGTAGTGAGATGAGGGCCGTTTTCCTCGATATATCCAAAGCTTTTGATAGAGTGTGGAATCGCGGTCTGATAGCCAAGTTAAGAAGATTTGGAGTTGAGGGGAATTTGTTAAACTGGTTTACAAGTTACCTTTCTTGTCGTAAACAAAGAGTGATAATCGAAGAAGCGCATTCTGATTGGCGTAATATCTAGGCGGGTGTCCCCCAGGGATCAGTCTTAGGTCCATTATTGTTTCTTGTTTACATTAATGACCTACCAGTCACAATCTTTTCTCCCTGCTTTTTTTTTGTGATGAATTTTTTTGGGCTGGAAAAAGTCCAGTCTCCTAGTGATTGCGCTTCCAAACTAAATCATGACTTGACATCAATATCTGATTGGGCTAAACGGTGGTTGGTGACTATGAATGAATGTAAGACTAAATCAATTATTTTTTCGACAAAAAGAGGTAAGCTTTTGCACCCCCGTTGATTTTGAACAATAGTATTATTGAGGATGTGACAGTTCATGAACATCTAAGTTTGACCTTGTCTTCTAACTTATCTTGGCGAGCGCATATATTAAAAATTCATCAAAAAGCTTCCAAAAAATTAAACTTGCTAAAGCCATTGAAATACAATTTGAGCCATAAACGGTAATTAATTGCCATTTTCCTGCAACTAGGTGCTAACTATGCTTTATTGTTTAAAAATCAAAGCAATTGTCTTACTGTTTTCGATAACAACTATAAAGCATAAAATTTTTAAGGTGTTTACAGTGACGTGACGTATATTAAAAGGACGTCTTTATTTAGATCGAACAGTCAAGTTGTACAATTCATCGAAATTCAGCACAAAAAGGGTCCATACGTTTTACAAAACTGCTGCTTCCGTGCAACTCGGTGCACGCTTACTCACCAAAACAAAGCCCAATAGTTTTTCTTCAACTGCCATATAAATTCTCGTGACTTGCATTAAACATAAAAAGTGAAAGTTACCCACCTTTTTACTGTTTTTTAGCATGTCTTCCTCTCGCAACTAGCGATCGCAACGCCCATCTCGATTAAACGGATCGAGCCACTGTGTTTGTCTGACAGTTCCAGGATGCATTATCCTCTAGACAACACGTCACTAAATATTTCGACCAAAATATTTGTCGATCTCTCATAGAGGCTAGAAAACCGCAAGTTAACGCTACCGACTAACAAAACAGCTGGCTTTTGTTGTTTCATCTCGACAACATGTCAAGGGGATTTTGGCTCTAAGCCAATGAATTTGCCGAAAATTGACCACGTGATATTTCGCCATGTCAGGCATGCGCTTCTCAAAGAGCAGACGGCTATTTGTCGACGAATAAAATACCCTGGCCAGAACTATACCCATCTCTTCCTGAAAGGAAGGCCGGGTCAAAAGAGTAAATCGATTCGAGTAGCACTATTGTCCTTTTTGAATGGAAAATATGTTTAAGAATATTTAACGACGATTACAGTAAACGTCCTGTGTGTAGCTGTTTTCCGGCTAGAAATTGTATAAACTTAAACGTGGAATTATGACGGAATTAAGATCGGTCAAGGTTTATGATAACTTGCCTAAAGGGTGAGGAATTTACCATTTACTGATGTTTCGTACCATACCGTATGATGTTATGGCATTATATACTCCGTCTTTATTCTTGTATTTATCATGTGTCGTAGTCATTTTTCCAGTTGCCAACCGCATAATAGGCATCAAGAGTTCAGTTGAAAATCGTGGTATTGTTGCCACAAACTTTTGCTTTTTGAGCTTTTCCGACCTCCTAGGAATAATACATCTTGTGGTGATGTTTCGATTTGTTTAACTTTGAGTTGCCATGGAGACTGCATGTATAATTTTTCCAAGAAAAAAGAAATGTCAATCTTAATAGTGTCTTAAACACAGTTCCGAGAAAAACAGACTCAAATTCCTTGAATTTTTCATCTACACTTTTCGATTTAGAGTGTACTTTTTAACGTATAGTACAAGTCAGAAAGAAATGGCGTAAAAGAAATTTAGTCCGTCGATTTTTTTGAGACTAAAAGCTGAGGACCCAATCAGTCTTCTTTTTTCGATGGTAAAAGCAACTTTACGATTTGTTCGATGTTACACCTTGGGGGATGCTGGCGAGTTGGCTATTTGCATCAACATGCATGGCTGAGTTCCGTATTGGGTATGTTTTTAACACATCCTCTAAGTTACTCTACTTCCGAACCGAGAAACCTGGACTGAAATAACGAACCCTTATTTAACAAAAGTTACCTTACCCCAGAACTAGAAAAAGTATATGGAAATGAACCTCGATATAACGAAACTTAGGTATGGCAAACATATTTAACCAGCCCCTTAGCCCTTCGTTGTATCGACGTTTCACTGTAGTAGGATTAGTTAGGAAGCTGAAAGAGTGTATGTCAAGGAAACCATCTGTAGCTTTTACTAAGAGGATTGAGAACATGGCTTGCTCGCTGGCCTGCTTGGCAGGCCTTTAAAAGTGAAATAGAGGGGGATTAAAATTGTGTTTTGCCTCTTCTCAGCTGATTTGATTCTTTTAACTGATTATACACCCGAATAAGAAATTTGTACCTCTCAGTCAGTTGGGTATTTCCATTTTTTTTAATGTGTATGTGTTCTTTAAATATCGCATTATGTCCCGTTAGACACTTTTTATCTTGGTGCTATTTAAGTATCTTGCCTTGTACACTACTTTTACAACTTGTGAGGAATTTTAACTTGTCACGGCAACAAGAACGTCAAAAACATAACTGGTTTAATAAGCAACACAACAACCTTGCATGTTCTTTACACTTTTTGCTGCATTACTGTGTTATCACTGCACGACTAGGAAGTGAACGTTTTCTTTATATAATTGAACAACACATAAATTAAAACGTATACAAAATCTAACAGATATGATCTTTTAGAGACCAAAAACAAGAGAATAATTAAAATGACTAACACAGTGGGATCAGAGTCCTGGTTTTCCTATGAGAGATAAAAGTGAAAACTAAATCAGCTTGAGCTGTTTATGTTACAGGTCACTTCACTTAAATTTTGACAAAGTTCAGTCCAAAGTCAGTGTTAAAAATTTTGTGGCGACCGAAAAAGGAAAGAAATTGCGATAAAAAAAAAAATAGCTAAAAATATCGGGCGGGTATGGCCGCCGAAAACCTGTTCGAAGTCCACTATATATTGCACTGACTATCGTGCGTTTGCTTGGCCACCCCAAGTCAGTAAAGATCATTAGTTTATCATTAATGAAATGTTGCAGTCTTGATAAGAAAGTTAATTGCCTAGCTTTAGCACTCTTACCTCTGGCCCAGTAGGAACCCTTAGACATGCTGTACCGCTAGAAGAAAAGATATTCAAAAGCAGTTAGTATTTAGAAATGACTTTGGTTTAAGAACACATTTTCTTTGTTTGCATTTCGGACTTTCTTACCAAACAGGGTTATGTCCACCACCTAGGTCCGTGCATTGTCGCACCAAACGCCCTCTCTCACTGTATTGTTCCTAAGGGGAAAAAATCACAATGTTTTGTATCACAGTTCTACTGCTCATGACTGACTCAGAAACATTCAGGATGGGCATGGCTACGTCACATGACTTGGCCTAATATTTGTTTAGTATTTCTATAGCCCGTTACGCCGTGTTTGGCACTTAAAGGAAGATGTTTTTGACAAAGTTTGACTGAAAATGATCTAAACTGTCGTTAATCTGAGAATTTCAGCCTTGACTGAGCAAACTCTTCTTGGTTGTAAAGTTGCAAAGGATCACCAAACTTGTAATCTTGTTACCTCCTCATTTGATTGGAATTTTCGACTTGGTCCTTGACTTGGTCCTTATTTTTTAATGACCTTAAATGTTTCGAGGAACAAGTGTTTCTAATGCTCCTTTTACTATGAGAGCAACATTTTAAAATAAAATTCAAGTACGCCTATACAGACGGTACATTAGGGATTGGGTGCTACAAGTCTATTGAACACAACATCATCGTTTAGTCTAAGCTCATGGTATGCAAAAATGTTTTCTTGCAGCTAGGTGTACTGTCTTGGTACGAAGTCCATTAAGATTATGTTGTTTAATCCATATTGCTTTTCTTTAGATGTCACTGAAGATTTACCAGAATGACATGCTCTGTTCAAGGAAGACAATAAAAACATTTACCTCGTGATGGTAGCCAGGATCTGGAGCGGCTTGAAGATCTTGAGCACTTTCCGTGACGTCATTCTCACTAATCAACACCAAATTATAAAGGCGAAGTAAGCTTTCACTGTTTTGCTTTTGTATATCAGATTGATTCCTAGCAGCAAGCCATTTACAGATTTATTCATTCGTTTTTTTGTTTTCTTGTCTTTCTTGCGTACTGACTCACTAAGTTCGTGAGTAAATATCAGTTATATTTGGGAAAGGTTTGAAATAACGGTTAAAGTGTGCAAGGAAATGTTTCGAACAGCTCATATAATAAAGATGGCGAGAAGGCCTCCAGAAATCGCCAAGCTTATACAGTGTAGGGAGAATTCCTCTGGTATTGAGAAATTTACAGCATTACGACGTATTTGTAGGAGTTTGAAACATTGAATGATTGTCTAATTTAGGATGGTGGCTTCTTTCTAGGTTTATGAACAGCGTTGAACCTTTTCGATATTATAGCATTTTGGGGCGTTGGATACTTTTGAGTCTTGAGTTTATTTGCTATCAAAAGTTTTCAATGGAACATGTCATTTCTAACTTCATAAATTAAAACTAGTAAAATTATTGAAAAGGTTCCTAACTATCCTGGAACACTAAAAGATGCTGTTCTTTTCAGTTGAGGGCCGAAATTCATTTGCATTGATACACTACTCGATTTCTCCCCAATGTGTCATCTGCATAGGTGTGACTCTAGCAGGCTTTAAAAAATATTTTAGCTCTGTTTGGTTTTTAAAAAACCTGACTCTCTCTTCCAGATTGATTGATTCCCTCATCTTATAGTTGGAGTTTTAAATTGTTACTTTAAGAGAGACAGGTAGCCCAATCTTGTTTTCGAGGTGGCTCGACCCAGTATTTTTGTAGACAGGTAGGCTTGCTTGATTTCGAAAGACAGGAAAGTATCAGGGTAAAACTCAATGCTGAGCTCTTTTTACAACTAGGAGGCTACTTTCACGAAAACACCGATAAAATCAAATAGCCTTTATGTAGAAATTCCACGATATCTCGAAATTCCAGAAATAGATAAAGGCAGAGCTTGAGTAACATTTATGAGCCTTTGTAGATATACGAACGAAACCAACACACCCCTTATTTGTTGCCGAGCTTAGTAATTACGGTATATGTTTAATCGGACTATCAATGATTTTACATGTTAGATTTTTTTTACTTTTTACCTAGCAGCTATTTCCTCCTTGTCCTTTTCTTCATCTTTTTTCTGAAAAATAGCGAAAAACATCGTTTGCAAAGGTTTTTGTCCAAAAGTCAGAAGTCAAGATGCAAATCCCTAGTGATCTAGCAATTCACAATCATTTCCACCATGTTATCGTTTTAATATGTATTTTTTCTATTTCTCTAAGCTCGTCAATGAGACTTGTACACAAAGATAAATAGATGTTTAAGTGTGGCCGTACATCACAACAACCGTAGCCAGATATAGCACATTGTAGGTTGAAGAATAATGTATTAATTGTTTCACGAAGTATAAACCTGAACAGGTTAAACAGTACCTTGCAAGAGACCCAGAAAGGAAGCAAACATTGCAAACAGGAATTTAAAATATTGATTAGACGCCGTGAAATAGTCCCACTGGAGTGCCTCCTTTTAAGCTGTTCAAAGGATTTAATAGCCTTGTCTAATTCGTCTTCTAAAACGTTCCAGTAATATCAACAAATACGTTGAGATAACTGATATGTTTCTGTGTTTTAAACCTCGCTTACGGAGTTTTTATGTAACGTGAGGCAGTAAAACCTACACTCCACCCAGTGTAAAAAAAATCCCTGTAAACTAGAAAGGTTTTTTCTTTATCCGTAAAGAGGTGATGCTACTCAGTATATATTTCCTGTAGTGCATTTAATCTTAGATTATAATCCAGCTTGTTTGACGTAAGTGAATCTAGTGCAACGATTTAAAATTTTACTCAATATTTGTTGGGAAATTTGACGTCGTCGTCATGAGGAAAAGCATAATACAATCTTCGATGCTCTTACCTGCTTTTCAGCCATCTTGAGTCTACAAGAAAAACAAAGCAAATTATTTTTAAAAATTGAAATTATTTCAAAAATTGGTTTAGACTTTATTTGAAACCTGTATTTGCAGAAATTTTGTATGTATCAATAATTATTCATTGAGGTGCTTCAGTGGAGTATGATTGATCAGAGATTGATACCTATATAAGCAAAAAGTGCGAAAGAAGATAACGAAATCAAGAAATCAGCTGTAGTAGTTCAAAGCGTAGTAAAACTCACGAGCAAATTGCAGTCTCTCTAGTTCCCTCACGAGATAAAATCACTGGAGTCAAATAACTGTGTTGATAAGATGTGGTGGGCCAAATGTGATAATATAAGTTGTGGCTGTGAGGCAAATGGTGCAAATCGATGTGCAACCAGCGTATCGTTGTGGTTTTACTGAATGGAATACGTACTTTTGTCTAAGGACCGCAAGAAGAGTTCACTTCACCGCAAGAGTTAACGGCAGTCTCAACAATAGTGCCCAAGATAAGAGGAGTACACTACAGGCATTTCAAATTAACTAAAATACTTACTTTTGTCTAAGCACCGCAAGAAGAGTTCACTTCACCGCAAGAGTTAACGGCAGTCTCAACAATAGTGCCCAAGATAAGAGGAGTACACTACAGGCATTTCAAATTAACTAAAATACGTACTTTTGTCTAAGCACCGCAAGAAGAGTTCACTTCACCGCAAGAGTTATCGGCAGTCTCAACAATAGTGCCGAAGATAAGAGGAGTACACTACAGGCATTTCAAATTAACTAAAATACGTACTTTTGCCTAAGCACCGCGAGAAGAGTTCACTTCACCGCAAGAGTTAACGGCAGTCTCAACAATAGTTCCCAAGATAAGAGGAGGACACTACAGGCATTTCAAATAAACTAAAATACGTACTTTTGTCTAAGCACCGCAAGAGTTCACCTTCAAGAGTTCACATTCAAGAGTTCACTTCATCGCAAGAGTTAACGGCAGTCTTAACAATAGTGCCGAAGATAAGAGGAGTACACTACAGGCATTTCAAATTAACTAAAAAGACATTAAAAGCCTTGCTGTGATTGTCTTTTAAAGCTCTGGAGTTGATTTGCATAGTAATCTCAAAACGTCTTGACAATAAGTAAAAAGGCAGTTTAAGGGTCCAGAAGGATTCTGTGTAGACAGTTTTCCTCTGACTTATTGTCACAGACGTACAGTTCCCGTGTTTTGGCTATGAAATTTAGACCTTTTTATAAGCTCAATGCATGCTGTGCGACTGTTTGGTCGTGTGCGAGTGGCACAGGTCAAAACAACTGTTTACCCCAGCACAGCTGTTCCATGCGTGGGTGGTACTTGCATCGTAATTACGGATCAAGCTGAAGTGTTGCAACTTCACTTTTTGTGCTATTAATTGAACAGTCATGCTTTCCAAAAGAGGAAATTGGTTTGTAGTGAAACTAAAAAGACTTGTTGTTGACTCGACGGCAGCGATAACCATCCCTCAATAAAAGGAATTTGCGTTCGTTCAAACTTAAATCGCGTTTTTACCTGCTCACGTTCAAAATGTCAAGTGCAGACGAATGTTCCTGTAGTTAACTTTAAGTCAGTTCTGAAACCCAGTTCAAGAAGAGAAAGAGAAAGGAATATTCGCGTCCTCCATGAAACGTTGCGGATTTATAGGAAGTTTCGCGTCGCAGTCGTGCACTAGTTGTTGAAGAAATGTACCAAAAAGTGGCTTTTATGTGCAGAACTGTTGTTTAGCTTAAAAATCTAATTGTTTTTTGGCGTTCTTGTGGACGTTGTCGTCGCGGTCGCTCCCTTTTATACGTAATGTGGTTACAGTGGAACTGTCAATCCTTGTTGTTTCCTTGCCGAAAGACTTATATATTAAAGGTATACGCAGGTGATAAAGGAACCTGAGAATTATTTCATGATTTATTTTGCAGAATCTTCACGTACCTTGGCTCAGATCCCTCCTTAACTGGGTTGATGTGTAGTTTTCTCCTGTATGCTACGCCAGCGCGAACCTGCTTTTCGTCGGGCATACATGTGCACTACGAGTAGGCTTATTCTTGCGCATGCTCTAAAAATCGGACCGGCGAGGACCGTAGGCTCGCGCACTTTGAAATGTTGGATGTTGTTCCGAATATAAGGTAAAGCGTCCTCCATTCTTCCAATACCCAGTCGTTATCTAAAATAACAAAAAAGATGAGTTAGACACCATGTCAGTAAACCCTTGCTTAAATGCACGCTGTCCTTTACACTCTCCTCCATCTTCGCGTCTTCGGTGTATGTCACCGGTTTCCAATTGTGTGGCACGTAAACCTGTTTAGAAGGGCTTCGTATGTTATGGCTGTCTTTTTCAGTATAATTTAGTACTTATTTGTTTCAGTTCTTCGTATTAGCCAACGTTCTTAGGCAGTGCAACTTCTGTTAAGGAAGACGTCCGTTATGGGTTTCGCTGTAAATCACTTGATTTTGTGAACAAAACGCAAAACGTCGAGCCCACACGAATGAAAATGCACTTTGCTGAGCTAATTTGTGTGTCCTGTATCTCCACGAATTTAAGCTGGGAGTAGGAAATAGCAAGATAGGAAATGGTTACTCAATAACTGGTAAGGCTGAGTTATTATTTTTGACTTCGCCCTCTACGTAGCAGTAAACTCCCTTCATACTTTGTTCGTTCGCTTGTTTGTTTTTGACACTTTAAGGCGCCGTAACCTTTCCCAAAGCAGACCGCTCTCAAGACGAACACTTCAGCCATCAGTGCAAAGCAGATCATGGCTAAATTTCAGTGGTTTGCCTTCAAATAACGCGGATAGCAAGGGATGGCTAGATCTGTCCGAATTTTAGAGCATTGTTCCGGCCAAATATAACTTAACTTTCGACGACTACCCACTGGTCTGTCTACCCAGTAGAAGGGACGAAACAAGCAATCGAGCAAACGAACGAAGGGGGAATCATCCCCTGCGTGCGCTTTCGTGTGTTACGTTTGATGGATTCACTCTGAGAAACAAGTGACTATTTGTATCCTAAACTGAGCCGTCAGTTTTTCAATATACATTCTGTTTTTCATCTGGTTTATTGACATTTCTCTTTTTAATTAGATCACAAAGTGCCGGTTGTCGAAGTTTCTTCGAAATACATATTGACATTCCATGGAAAATTCCCCGGATATCTCATCTATCGTTGTCTTCTGGTGCAATATATTATAATAAATTTTGTTCGATGAAAGGGAATATTGAGAAAACATTTCAAACATTCTAAATAACCAGGAAAGTGAAGCAAAAGATACCATCGTTTTTCGTAATTTCCAGCGAAAAAAATTGGAAATTTAAACACTAACTTTCTAAAACTTTTAGTCCAAGATTTATAAGTACTGAAATCTTTTCTTTTTAAGCAAGTCTGTGGCGTTTACTGCTTTCGATTCAGTGGTCGCTTGGAGGTATTTTCCCCTTTCTACCACTAACTGAAAATTTCATAGGAGTTACATTTGTTATTCCAAACATAGTTTACAGGCAGTCTTTCTAAACTCTTCTTTAATCCAGCTTACCTCCAGTTCTTCGGTGTCTTGAGGAGAGGTTATTTACCAGCAGTTTCTAAGCTTCCTCGATTCAGTTATCATCTAGATAGATGTCTGGTCCCCGCTTATAATGGACAGCTTTCATACCGTCCATACATTCTATAAAAGATTCGTCAAACGTTGTCGTATGCAAGGCATTTCTCTTCGCGGAAAGAATTACATCGCCCAACAGTTTACAATTTGCGTACATGATAAAAGTTAGCTATTCGTTATTTAGTCAATAGGAAGTCATGCATTCACTGAGGCATCATTTTTGTATTGTTTGAAGGTAGTATGTGCTAAGGCAGATTCCGTTTAAGAAGAATTTTTTTGAGTGAAAGTGCGTTGGCGTCGAAAATTGTGTGCTCAATTTCATCTTTGTTTTCTTGGTATATTAATATGCAATTTTTTCATTTAATTATCTTCAATTTTTTATCAATTTTCAATTTTACTGATCATTGTCCAGTTTTTGACTGTTTTAAAACAGATAACTCGATTTACAGACACAGAAGGCAATCAAAAAGTACGCGCTGTATTCCAAACAAAATAATTGATGTGTAGCGGCCCATGAAGATTCTCTGCTTAACCGGCCACGGTCATTTTATGAATATACTCGAGATTTGTCATAGCGGGATTGTTTACAATACCTGTCAAAACTGTTATTTGGTTTCCTAGCAAAACATTTGATCATATTCAGTTAACACAAAGGGTCGATTATTTATATTGATGAATGTTTTTCTTTATGCCTTCTTGACACTGGACTAATAATTAACAATTATTGAGTGAGGCTGAGAAGGATGTAAAGAATTAGGAGGCCTCAGCCGTGGTGGGTAACATCCACCGAGGCCTGCATAATTCTTCACATCGTTTTTTTTATCCGTTAAGTGGTGATGCTACTCAGCTTATATTTCCTGTTATTAACTTGCTAATATGACGTAAGTGAAATAATTCTTCACATCGTACGGCAGCCGAATTCAATAATTGTTTTATTATTCATTCGAAATATTTCTAAGTTCTAAACATGCTTACCTCCTCGTAGACTTTCTTCACAACTTGTGCCTATTTCTCGGCACAGTATTAGAGGATATAAAAAAGGTTTTTCTCCTCAAAAAGTAGATAACGTCGATCGTGTAATATGCTTTGCGTATTTTTGTACTTCTTCGAATCAAAAAGTCAGCTATTTCGTCCTCGAATAGCCGTGAACTCCATTTTTTTTAGTTCACTCTTGCCCAAGCAGCCTCGTTTTCAATCAAATATACTAACGTTCAGCCTCGTTTCCAATCGAATATACCATCGAATTGATGGTATATTGCCACGTCTTCTAAATATGGTAAGCGCCAGTTGGTTAAGAAGAATTAGTCGGAGGATTGGAGCCAATTAGAAACTGCGAGATATTTTGAATGAATAATTAACAGTGTTTAGGCATAAGAGTTTGGTAAATTAAAACTGCGTTAGAATGCAGGTTTGTTAATCCCGGCTGAACTCTGAATCTCATTCAGTTATCATTTTTTATTAAGATAATAAAGACTAAGAAAAGGAAAAATGCCACAGGATCCGGCATGTCATCATTAGCCTGAAGAAACAAAAGAACCGGTTAAACCCTTAACTAAAGTAAATTAGGAAAATAAGAACTAATTGAACTGACAAGTCCGTTCTAATGTGCAGAGACTACGCAGCATTTCGAGAATATGCATAATCTTCTCTGACCCAAAAAATTACCACCTCAGAGCGAAAGTTTCGCTTTATGGTTTTAGCTACGTTGCTTTTGTTACTTGTTTACTGAATGAAATAGAAGATTCCATATACACCTGTGGTTGAGCATGACTCGACGCCGCTATCATATTTGGTAGACCATACCTGAAAGATATGTAAAACAGTCGGTTAACTTCCATTCTCGTCATCGATAAAATGAAAGATGAGTAGTGCAAAAACTCATCAGTAGCAGGCAGCCTTTGCTCGCCCTAAAAATACGCCGAATTGAAGGCTAGTGTCAGCAGAGCTGTGCCCTTAAGTGCAAGTGAAACTATGACTTTTAATTAGACGTTGTTGTGCATAGTGTAACGTACGTTTGTCACTGTAAACTGGTCGGAATGATCTGGCCTCTTGCAGTGGCAACATTACAACTAATTGTGCTTTTTATGATATCTTTGTCAATGTGTCATTTTCGGCTAGGAAACTGTTCATTTGTTCCGGAAAGCAGGTTATTTCACCACCTACCTTCTCGATTTTTTGTCGAATACGCCTCCCTATTCTGTGATAACTTGTGATTACTACCAGTAAGTTAGCTAGGGTGGGTACTATATGGTGGAGATGATAATTTGTATAGTAAAGTTCTTTATAGACATGACTGTTTTTAGTGTCTTACCTGGCTTGATTTGCCTGGTGATCATTTTCCTGGCGTATAGCTTGGTTCGCGGCGTTGGACCCCTAGTAAGTTAGAGAGAATCAGCATTTTTATTAAACTGAGACATACGCTGGAATAAATTGTGTGAATGAGGTTCAAAAGGGAAAGTGAACTTTTCTGAGCGACTAAAATTTGGAAGAAGGAGAGGAGAGTTGCCGTGAGACGTAACAAAAATTATAGGATTTTAACATTCTTTTCATTGGTTAAAGTTGATGTTGGTCACTCGGGCTGCTCGGCCGCGTTGTCAAGTGCTCGGTAAATCACCCGATTAGAGAATCGGTCAGTTTTAGTGAGTCGGTCAGTCAGTCTGTCGGTCTTACTTCATTTCCTTGCGTATTTTTATCAGAGCATAGAATTTAAATTCGCTTGTGTTTTTGAAAAAGGAGTGGAAATTTGCTAACATTTACCGGCTTCTTGTGTCAGTGGAATATATTTTTAAGATCATTATTTTGAATATTAGATGTCAGTAAATGTTTTGTGTGAGGTTTAGGAAACAGTTTTTTCACCTGCCCAAGCGCGAAGGGCACCACAGGCTGATTTGTGGGTGAACTGCCGGAATCGCTGCTTGTATCCATTTCTTCGTCGCTAAATGAAAAGGAAACGTCAGGTCAGTACCAGCAAAGTAAGTTCTTGTCTCCAGAATATTCAGTTTTTGAAAGGGCATCTCCAGAAAAAGGAACGTACTAACATTTTACCCTTAAAATACTGAACACTTCACAGCATTGAGGTTGTGTCGTGTAGCTTCCTTAGAAGTTACTTGAGGTTTTTGCCTATAGAAAGGTACAGCCGTCCAATGTTATTCAGTAATACCTTTACTAAGTACATGTAAAACCTGAAAAAGCCACCGCATTTGTGAGCGGTACGGTTTAGCTGGTAAAATCTTGGCGCTACCAGGTTTACAAACAAGCATATACCCACAAGCAGTAGCGTGCTTTTCTTGAGTGTCTTTTTTTTTGTACAAAAGTTACTGGAGCAAATCACTTCTTTATGTTTAACCCCGATTTGTAGCGTGTTAGTTGCTCACCTCTTGTCACCATAAGAGTCTGATTATCGCATTAGAAACTCGCCCACACACTGCGCCTTCCTAACCCTTGTCCTACTCATAGAAATTCATTTACGTCTGGTTATAAAAATTTCGGTTGACTTTTTCCGTGAATGTTATATTTCGTTTTGTAAAGGTTTGTTTGAAAATAAACTGGAGAAATACACAGTTAGTTTCTTCTTGTTACACAAAGTCATCAGCACTTGGATATTCGCGTATTTTCAAAAAGGCTTTACCATGAAACTTTGGCAAAACACCTAGTTCACGCAGCGATTTTGTTCTGCTTTATATTCACCGCCTAGTGCGGTGAATATAACGTCATAGTCCGAGATAGCTAACCAATCAGATTGCTTGAATTACCAAGATCACTGAATGTGTATATATAGCCTGCGAGCAAGCTCTCCTATTTGGGCGAGTGAAACAAGTCTCGCGAGAACGCGCGAGCGAGCGGCGAAGCCGCGAGGGGCAGAGGAAAGGAGAGCTTGCAACGATACCTTTAGCTTCGTCTATGTGTCAAATTTGGTTCTCAAGGGGACCAGATTGGTACCGAGAACTTGTTTCAGCCCTCAATGCAGACGGGCTCGTTTGATGTAATTCTCGAAAAGAGAATATTGCGTGCCGAGGAAAATGAAAACCCTTCATCAGTTGTATTCATTTGTGTCAAGCACCTTGTTTAGTTCTGAAAACCGGGAGAGTGAAAGTGAAGAGTGATTAAAGCGCTGTTTTCCAACATCGGTTTCTTCGCCCGATTGAATTCTACTGGGTAGAAAAATTCAGAGACATGTACTTGACAGTGTAGCTGTGTAGCTTGATCGTAAAGAAGGAAAAGAGAAAGAGTTGGAAGCAACTGGAGTAAACCTTAAGAGAGCCATGTGCTGGAAAACGCTATTCTCCAGTTCCAGACGGACAAATATATGATGTTTTTGTTGGTCATTGCGATGGGGAGTAGTCTTCTACGGTGCAGTATGGACGACCTTTCAAAAGTAAACGAAACGAGAATCAAAGTAGTGAGTTCTTATCCGAGCGGACACGTTGAAGTTCGACGTCCCCGTGAAAAAAAAAACACATATCAGTGATTAAAAACATTGCTTTAATGCTGTTGCCAAAGCGATTGATAAATAAATAATTCTACGCGCCCTCGGCTGTCTAAACTTACTTGACAGGCGGTCGTCACTTTTCTAATCTGCCGCACGTTTGCGGTGACAATTTTCACGCTTTGCGGAGTCCCGGAGTTTCCGGGGTGGAAATGAAAATTTATGAGAGATCGTTGCAAGCTCTCCTTTCCTCGGCCCCTCGCTCGCGCGTTCTCGCCAGGCTCGCTTCGCTTGCCCAAATAGGAGAACTTGCTCGCAGGCTAGTGTATATACTAATTATCAATATGGCAAGTTGCCGTATTGATAAATATGTGTGTGGAGCGTGTTCGCAGGTCTAACTTTGATGTGAACTTACTTCGCTTTGCGTCCCGTTAAAAAAATAATACTATAATAAAAATAAAATACAAGAATGATTTGAAATGATTTGCGTTTTCGTGCGCTATGTTCGAAACACTCGATCAATCACGTCATTTACGTTATACGTAATATTAATGCTAAAAATAACCTTGGTGTTAAGATATAAAACATCCCTCTAAGTGTGTACAGTAAGAAAATATTATTATTTTGGTCGTGCTTGATTGACCGTATTTCGGAATAAGATTAATTGAAAATGAACTCTAGAAGGCACTTGTTTTGGCTTTCATTGGTTTGTAAAATATCTAGAAGCCTACTTGAAATAAATTATTCCGATGTATGTAGGATCCAAAACTCAAGGGGGTAGAATTTGTATCAAAACTTTGCATCAATTTGGCCTGCCACTCTATAGTTTCACAGTGCATTAGAATTCAGACGCTGTTTATTAAGCCCAGTGGTAACAATGCGCGTATGGCAGTCTTAAAATAAGTCTCATCAAACAGATGTAGAGGTTTAGTTATTTTGTCAAGTCATAGTTCGATTAAAAATTGGCACATATTAAGTTTTGACGTTTTGGCTTTTCAGGGGTGTGATAACTGAAAGGATAAACGTTACTTAGTGCTATTACGTAAATTGTAAAATTATTTTCTTAGTGTATAGCAAAATTCCTTTATACCAAACGGGGGAAACAAGAACCTGCGAATTTAGTCCATAGATTAATGACTGATTCTCTTTTCTTCCTTCCTTTGGTATTTTACCTCTTTTTGCTTCACACTGTCCGAGTTGTTGTGCTTTTGGCAGTGAGACGGTTCTGAGTCTAATTAGTCGCGTGCCTTGCAAACGAACACTTGAGCTCTAATATCGGCTTATCTCGGAACTGCCGGCTGGATGCATGAGCGGGACTGTTGCTAGCCTGCTTGCATATGAATAGGATTAACACAAGAGGGTGCGAAAACAATTGAAACTGCCAAAAATACATCACGTCACACCCAAATCGCAAAGAGAGCAACCAGCATCCTGACCCAAGCAATGACCCATACTTGAGCATTGCTTCGCACTCTTTACATCCTGTATTTCCAGGTTTGTGGGCCGTGACTTTTGCACGTGTCTTCCAAGCCGTCGGCGGAAAGCTAAGTTAAGACTGATTTGGAATAAACACAAGCCTTTATGCTCTTACATCGTTGGTCACTGATACATGGCCTTGTGTCGCGTTCAGTTCTTCCTTAGTGGTCGAATATATGAAAACATTAACTTATTTGCGTTAATGAGTAGTTATCTTTTCTTTCTCACCTTTGTGTATTTTTGTTGTATTATTCCTTTTATACACGTCTGTGTGATTTTCCCGTCCTCGTTAAACCCTTTCAGTTTGTGGTGAATTTGCTCTCCTTTTGCATGACGAGATTTGGAAAAACGTACAAGTTATTAGGAAGCGCACTGCATGCCACCATTCAAAGTACACATTTTCTTTTTCCGATTTGAAATCTGCACGCTTGACTGTTTACTTAGTCAAAACGTTCCAAGTGATTGGATGAGGAAAAAGCTGCCTTGAACTCTACCAGGTGCTTTTCACGTTAAGTTTTAAATGAATGACTGACTGAATGAATGGACTGATCATATCACAAAAGGCAAATTTGCGTAAAGTCAGCCGATCGAGCTCAGGCGTGTGGTACGCGCGAGTGGGATTTGAATTTGACGTCAGTAAGTCTCTGGGCGGCAGTCGTTACACTGACGATTGCTTTGATTTTCACTTGTGCACTGATCTGTGAACTTGGATGCTAGAATTTGACAAACAAGACTTGTAGCTTACAGGTTTTTCAGTCACCCACACTGAAATAAAGGATTTGGATGATTTACCCAAAATTGAATATTCATGTTTTGTAAGAGTTTTTCACAAGCGAAGGACCAGCCGTAGTGACTTCGACCTGCTCTCCCCTTTGAAAACATTAACTTATTTTCGTTAATGAGTAGTTATCTTTTCTTTCTTACCTTTGTGTATTTTTGTTGTATTATTCCTTTTATACACGTCTGTGTGATTTTCCCGTCCTCGTTAAACCCTTTCAGTCTGTGGTGAATTTACTCTCATTTTGCATGACGAAATATGGATTTTAAAACGAAGTCTCATTGTTTACTGACCCTCACGCAGTTCCTTTGCTGCTGCCTGAAAGCGACGATCCGCAGCAAAGGAAGACAACCACTGAACCATTTCCGGCAATCATAAACAAAAAACATATAACTAGAGATGACCCCCGGCTTTATTTCCTTTCAAGCCCGTGCAAAAATTTAACCGAGATCAGGGCAATCTCGCCGAGATTTTTTTTTCCTAAACTGTTGAAGGTATTACAATTCGCTCTAGTGCGACCCGGCCCTAAGCTGACAAGTGTTTTGTTGGCATACATGCGTAAAAGAAATTCAGTCGGTCGACTTTTTGAGACTGAAAACTGAGAGAAACAGACAGTCTAAAGTAGAAACTTCAAATATAATCTTTGTGCGATGTTTCACCCGGGAGAATGCTGGCGATTTGGCTATTTGCATTATTATGACTGAGTATCGTATACGGAGTGTTTTTAATGCAGCCATTTGTTGCTTTACTTTAGTAAAGTAGACAATTGATTCTGCTTCTACTACTTTTATCACAGCATCAATTTTAAACAAGAATATTGTTCAGAGGTTTTGGATGGTTTAAAGGTTTTTGCTAATCGTTTGAATTTAATGTCGCTTATTTTTGTTGTAATGCATTTCCATACATTTAATTTTAGGCCTCTAAACCACGCTCTTTGAGGGAGGCCTCATTCTTATGACAGTGTAAGATGGACCTTTGTCTCAAAGAGTTTAAGGGTGACCCAATAACCATTAGCATTAAACTTCAAAAACGTCTCTCACACTTAAGAAAGGATTTAGGAACCTGCCAGGGGGGTCGCACTCCGTCATTATTATTATTATTATTATTATTATTATTATTATTATTTTATTATTATTATTGTTATCATTATTATTATTATTATTATTATTATTATTATTATTATTATTATTATTATTATTATTATTAATGGCCTATACGGGGAGGCTACGCCCCAATGGAAGGTACACGAAAAGGGTACCTTTTCTGTCAAAAATGGTATATAAAAAGGGTAAGGGGTTGAACCTCGGGGCGGAGCCCCCCCCCGTGTTAAATTTTGTTGAGTAACCCCCCCCTCCCGGGGGGGAACCTGAGTTGTGTAAAGTCTGAGCTCGAGCGATTTTTTCTTAAAGGGACAGGTTCACGGTTCAGCACATGCTTATTTATCAAAAGGCTGTTTTTTCGCCGCGACATGCTGTATCGTCTATGCACGCAATATGATATAATGTTGTCAAAGAACCAATCTGCACAGTCCTCTGGCAGTCACTTGCACTTGATCAACTTAAATAATTGCAAATAGCTGTAAATTAATCAACCATAAAGAGTTTGTCATTTGAAGCGCACTTTACTAAAAGTATTCCAAGGAAACCATCTTTAGCTTTTATTAAGGGGACTAACAACATGGATTCCTCGCCAATTTTCGTTTCCGCAAAATTGTGTTATACCGCTTCTCAATTAGTATTTGATTTTGATTTTGACCCAATTCAGAATTTTGTACCTCCGAGTCAGATAGATATTCCCATTTTTTGTTTATGTTTAAGTGTTCTTAGCCTGCAGAACAAGCTATTTTTTTACGTCTTTCATGCGAGCGCGAAGCGCGAGACCGCGAATAAAAAATGCTTGTTCTGCAAGCTAACGTTTTCTTTGAATATGTTGTTATGTCCTGTTAGACTCATTTTTTGTGGTTGCATTGAAGTATCTTGCCTTGTACACTGTTAAGGGCAACATATGTCGAGACTTAAGAAGTCACGGCAACAAGGATGACAAAAACGAAAAAGGTTTAATAAGCAACGCAACAACATTGCACGTTCTTTACACTTTTTGCTACATTACTTCTTCATCACTGCATGCCTAGGAAGTAAACGTTTTCTTTTTAAAATTTTACTATATAACATTGAACAACACATAAATCAAAACGTACAAAATCGAACAGACATGATCTTTAAGAGACAAAAACAAGAGAAAAATGTAAAAAATGGTCAACACGCTAGGATCTGAGTCCAGGTTTTCCTATGAGAGATAAAAGTGAAAACTAAATTAGCTTGAGCTGTTCATGTTACCAAGTCACTTCACTTACATTTTGGCAAAATTCAATTCAAAATCAGTTTGTGATGAACACTTTGTGGCGATCGGAAAAGGAAAAAAATTCGCGACTGAAAATTAGCTTAAAATATCGGTATGGTCGCCGAAAACCTGTTCGAAGTCCACTATGTACACTATATCCACACACTATCGTGCCCTTGCTTGGTCAGAACAACAACCACACCAACAACCTTTATTATTTACATCCAACTAAATAGAATTTTAACATTCAGTTCTACGATGGCTAATGGAAAGAAAAAAAAAAAGTTACATAAGATAGATACATTATGATAAAAGGATGTCTAGCACGAAAACATTTGCTAATTTAGCTCCTAGCTCCTAGCTATAAAGTTATATCTTTAACACAGTGGTGACAGGTATAATAGTAGCAACGAAAAAACAATAATTAATAAATAAATAACACACACACACACTATACATTATATAGAGAGAAGAACGAATATGGTCAACTTTCAAATTGTCAATTCAGTAGATATTTTTTTAGTAAGTATGGGAAGGAGAAATTGGGAGGTCTTTCAAATGATGGGGAAGATCTTTCCTGAGGTCAACAGCTATAGATTGAATTGTCAGTGAATTGTCACACCAAGTCAGCGAATCGAAGATCTTCAGTTTGTCATTAATATAATTTTATGTTACAGGCTTGGGAAAAAAGTTAATTGCCTAGCTTTGGTGCTCTTACCCTTGGCACAGTAGGAACTTGTGGACATGATATACCGCTAGAAGAAAGGATATTCAAAAGCAGTTAGTATTTTGAAAACTTTTATACCAAGTAGATGGAGATTTCTGCATATCTTGAATTAAATCACAATTTTATGAGATACAAAATTCAGTTGAGGAAGGTACATTTACAAAGGTAGTCATTTGTTCTTAATGAAGCGAACAGTTTGAATGAAAATATTCTGAATTTTGTCAACTGGAGGACACGTAAAATAGTATATGTCACTGGCATTTTATGTATGGTCGAATATCCCCCACCCGTATGTCTTTCTTTCTTTTAAAACGATTAACTTCTCCACAACGTGCAAAGCAGTCACTAGACATGATAGTCAGCGAAGTTACCAAAATATCCCCCTTGATGATTCGCGTAGCAAAAAGAGAGAAGTGATACAGAATGATTATGACTGAAAAAAACTAAATTGTTTTTGACATTAAATTTGAGCGGCGCTTTAATTCATTATTGATTCGTGGTTGGCGAAATAACAGGCAGCGGTCCTATTATTTTAATTATGGGCCTTTGTAGCTCCTTATATTATGACTGAGGTGAAGATATAACTATGGTTTGGGAACAATCTTCGTTTTTTTGTACTTCGGACTTTCTTACCAAATTGGGTTATGTCCACCACCGGGTTCCGTACATTGACGCACCAAACGCCCTCCGTCAGTGTACTGCTCCTAAGGAAAAAATCACGATGTTTTGTATCACAGTTCTACAACTCTTGATTGACTCAAGAGCACTCAGGATGGCATGGCTACGTCAGGAAAAAAAACTTGGCCTAAATAGTTCAGTATTTCGACAGCCTGTTACACCGTGTTCGGCACTTTACGTGTGATGAATTTTACAAGGTTCGCCTGAAAATGCTGTAAACTGTCGTTAATTTGAGAAATCCAGTCTTAGCAAACTCTTATTGGTTCTATGGGGTCAAATTATCGCTCAACTTGCCTCAGTTAAGTGCTTTTTTGACGTGGTCCACATCTTTTAATGACCTTAAATGCCTTTAGGAACGTGATTCTAATGCTCCTTTTACTACGAAAGCAATATTTCAAAATGAAATTCAAGTACGCCTATACAGATGGGCAAATTAGGGATTGGGTGTTACAAGTCTATTGAACACAAAATCATCCTTTAGTTTTAGCTTATTTTGAGCCCAAATTTTTTCTTGCAGCTGGGTGTACTGTCTTGATATAAAGTCCATTAAGATTATGTTGTTTAATCAATATTGCTTTTGTTTAGATGTCACTGAAGATTTACCAGAATGACATGCAATGTTCAAGGAAGACAAAAATAACATTTACCTCGTGACGGTAGCCGGGATCTGGACCGGCTTGAAGATCTTGATCAGTTTCAGTGACGTCATTCTCACTAATCAACACCAAGTTATAAAGGCGAAGTAAGGTTTCACCGTTTTGCTTTTGTATATCAGATTGCTTCCTAGCAGTAAGTCATTTACTGATTTATTCATTCGTTTATTTGTTTCCTTGTCTTTCTTGCCTACTGACTAACTAAGTTGAGTAGACATCAGTTACATTTGGGAAAGGTTTGAAATAACAGTTTAAGTTTGCAGGGAAATGTTTCGAAATGTTTCGAACATAATAAAGATGGCGAGAAAGCCTCCAGAAATCGCCAAGCTTATACAATGAACGGAGAATTACACTCTTATTGAGAAATTTGCAGGATTACGACGTATTTGTAGGATTTTGAAATAATGAATGATTGTCTACTTTAGGATGGAAGCTTCTTTCTGGATTTATGAACCTTTTCGATGTTATAGCATTGTTGGGCGTGGATACTTTTGAGTCTTGAGATTATTTTCTATCAAACGATTTAAATGGAACATGTCATTTCTAACTTCCTAAATTAAAACTGGTAAAATTATTGAAAAGGTTCCTAACGATCTTGTAACACTAAGAGAAGCAGTTCTTTTCAGTTGAGGGCCGAAAGTCATTTGCATTGATACACTACTCGATTTCTGCCCAATGTGTCATCTGCGTACGTGTGTCTCTAGCAGGCTTTGTAAAAATATTTTAGCTCTCTTTTGTTTTTAAGAAACCTGACTCTCTCTTCCAGATTGATTGATTCCCTCATCTTATGGTTAGAGTTTTAAATTGTTACTTTAAAAGAGGCAGGTGGCCCAATTTTTTTTTAAAGGTGACTCGACCCAGTATTTTTGTAGACAGGTAGGCTTGCTTGATTTCGAAAGACTGGAAAGTATCTGGGTAAAACTCAATGCTGAGCTCTTTTTACAACTAGGAGGCTACTCTCATGAAAACAGCGATAAAATCAAATAGCCTTCATGTAGAAATTCCACGATATCTCGAAATTGCACTTCGACATTTTTGTGAAACTTCGCTAGCAAAGAGCATTTCCAGAGAAGTGCGAATAAGGGTTGTAATTCGATGAAGAGCGAAAACCATTGTGACGTCATTGTTACGTGGTATTCCGATCGCGAAAAAAATAATGTCTAATGTCATAATAAAGTTCAGTCTATGTTTGATCCATGTGTTATAATGTAGTTACAATAAAGACCAAGTTATTTAAGTATAGGAGGTCCAAAGGTGAAAGGTATGCCTATAAAAATACTGGATCGAGCTACCTTAAAAGAAGCGCCAATAGCAATATTCTCTTTTCAAGCGCAGGAATAGAGGATCTTTCGAGTAATATTTAAGGGCCTTTTTAGGTTTATGAACAAAAGCAACACACGCCTTACTTGTAGCCGAGCTTAGTAATTACGGTATCTGTTTAATGAGTATCAGTGATTTTATACGTTAGATTTTTTTACTTTTTACCCAGTAGCTACTTCCTCCTTGTCCTTTTCTTCATCATTGTTCTGCAAAATAGCGAAAAACGTCGTTTGCAAAGGTTTTTGTCCAAAAGTCAGAAATGAAGATGCAAATCTCTATGTACCTTGGCAGAGTGATCTAGCAATTCACAATCATTTCCACACATTTAAGCTAATACTCACCGCAGCTCTTATGCAGTGAGACCATCACTACCTTGGCGTCTGGCTTGTTTTCAGTTCAAGTCATTTTAATAAGGAACTCCAGCATACCGTTGTACTCGTTTAGTTACGGGCTTGTGGCCCGTTAGGATCACTTTTAGGGGGTTGTATGCCCTAGTATGCTTCTCGAGGACCTTTACATGATACACAGGCTAAGGAAACGTGAACATCGTAATATTATGTAGACCAGTCGCGCAAACCTAAAATAAATGCGATAGATTGTTACGTGTCAAATAGAATCAGTGTAAAGTAGTGTTCGGAAGCTTTCACTTAAAAATGCTCACACCGCTGAAATTTTAAAAAAGGATTTTAGCCAAGGGAGAATTGAACCGTGTGTTAAAAGCATTTCATTTGAGGAATGTATTTATTCTTACCGAAGAAATATTTTCAATCGTCGCATAATGTAATTTCTGACCACAGACTTCTTTCCAAGTAGTCATCTCTTTGCCAGCTTTCAATTGTTGCCCAGACAGTTTTTTTCACCTTTACATCTAGCAAGTCTTTGGCACACTCAGTCCGCACCTGTTCTCGTACATTTCACTTAGCAGTTTGCTCAGATTGATTGCATGAATGTTTAAACTTCAAGATATATTTCCTTATGACCTTGTGATCATTAGTGCATTTCAGGCGGGTTATTTCCCTGTATTGTTTGTTAACGGAATGTGCCTAAACATGCCCACAGCACTGAAGTAGGGGTTTTAAGTATCTTGATTACACAGACTTGCTCAGCGTAACAAGCCTGCATACAATCGATATAGTCCTGTGTTTTTATTTCTCCTCCTTCTCGTCGCTGAAGCGCCTTAAATTTCATATTAATGTGAACCGTAGTTCTAGCTTGATAATTTTGGGCAACTTTGTCATAATTTCATATGCAGGTAACTTAGTTTATCTTCTTGTATTTGTAGCTCCAATATCAATGTGTCATTTAGATACTATAAAAAAAGAAATTTTCTACCCTGACTCCGACTGTTTGTCATTATATGTCACGTTGCCCGGTTTTTTTCTGTTGCTTCGCAGAGATAGAAATTACTTACGTAGCCACAAAATTATGTCTCGCTCTAAAGGGATTTTTACCGTTTTTATTAGAATAATGGGGCTTATAAAATAAGGGATTTGTCCCTCTTATGTCTCTTAGATGAGAACATGTACGAAAATAAGGAATGAAAAACTCTTTTGAGACATTGCTTCGCACAGCGTAATTTTAAGGGTGTGATTAATACAATGTACCATCTTGTACCCAATTAGTGTAGTGTCAAAACCTGAAGTTCGTTTTCTGATGATGATTATACAGAGGCAAGAGCCATAATAGGCTCTTGACAGAGGTGAATTTATTTGACAAGTTGACAATCACGCGAACCCTTCAGTAACTCAGTGAAGTTGTTTTGGTTGCTTATCAGAGTTGTATTATAGTTGATTGCTCATTTGTTTGACTTCGAGCCGTTGCGTTCGTGTTTAAAATCACAGTGTTCTCAATGAAGTGTCTGTGGGCATTGGCAGTTTCGACATTGTTCTCGGAAATGGTGGCAGTATTTCTAAGAATAGAACAGGGAAGGTATTTGTTTACAAACAAACTTTTTGTTATTTAAATACGCCAAACACTGAAACAAAGAAACCTTTTGATTCAGAGCCAACGATCCTGTGATTGGCACATTAATATCAGTAGGTGACATCAGCGATATCTTCTCGATATCTATGGGCATATGATACTCAAGCGTGACTTCAAAACAATAAATTCTACATTTGTGCGCTGATTTTTCGATACCTTCTGGAACCTTACAGGCCTTAGTCAGCAAATTTTGCAACAAACTGATAAATAGATGTCTTATTATGGAGAACGTCTATGTTTTCTCGTTTGATTCGCATACTATTACAGTGTGAAAATAAGCATGCATTGGCGACCCTGGCATTCAGAATCTAGTGAGTGAGTTAAACTGAAACAAAACAAAATATTTATACGCATGAAACAACACTTCCACGCACTTAGACTTATAGTCTTACACTCGGACATAATTATTTGAGAAAAGGTATCTTTTGGAACAGCGTTGGAAAGGATCGTGTGAGAAAACAATAAACCACAGAAACAGTGGACCCTAGTCCTGAGCTAGTCCTGAAACACCAGAGCTTCATGCTACAGTAGCAAGGACGGATGAAATCAGGGGTTTCAAGTTGCGAAGAGTTTCGTGACAGCAGAAATGTTTGAATTCAGCATTTTTTTTGAATATTACATTTATCTAGGGTGACGTTTGAGCTTACGCGTTGAGGTTCA